TTATTCTTTAAAATACGGGCCATGAAATTTATCCTTCGGGAAATTTGTTCTCGGCTGCTATTCTGCAGCATATACTCATATAAGTTATTTGGAATAATTATTTATTTCCCTTTTGAAATTTACAAGGGAGGTAATAAAAGAAGATTATTAAAATTTGTTAAACTATGTTTTTATAATATAAACAATGACTTTTAACAATTAGAATCAATTAATTACTTAAACAATACGTATAGCCATTATTTCTTTTAAAAAAAGCATTATTATTAATGGTTAATATGCAGTGTCACACAACTTTATTGTATTTAAAGTAATCTACACACTACATTTATGTGAAAATAGGTTTGGTTACTTAAAAGAAAATCTTCATTTGAATTCGTATACTGCTACTAATAGAATTCTAGATTAAATTTTGGATCTCTTTGATAAGAGACGAATATCAATGTAACACAGGGATCGGCAACCTGGGGCTCACGAGCCGCATGCGGCTCCTTTAATATAGAAATTCGTATCTTCAAATCCATGCACAAAAATTAATACTTATTTTATTTTATTTTCTAAACTCATAAAAATATTGTTTTGCAACACTCGGTAATGAACGATAAAATAATAAACATAAACAATAAACATTCGCTATTCTATTAGAATATTAATTACTCCCAATTTCAATATACATCCCATTAACTTGTCTATCCCAAATTGAACATTCGACTTCATAAAAATGCAAGTAATCTGACGTTCTTAGTAGACCATCTAAACACAAAAACAAATAAGATTAACTTTGATCTTTTTGGAATTGATGCTGGTTCGTTTCAAATGAAATAGCTAGATTTGAAAACCAAACATTTGTGGAGTGGTAAGTTCGCGTTTGAAAATTGGAGGTCCAGTAAAACATGCACATTTTGTTGCACAAGTGGACTGCTCTAAAAGAAATACCGCGAGTTGAGGTGCTATTATGTGACGGATGGAATAGTCTTCAAGGATGCTAAAGTGAGGTGAAGAAATTAACATTTGGAGTGGTAACGATCTTCGGGTCAACATACTCATGCTAGCAAGCGTTTTCTTGCATGAACATATATAAAGTATAGAAGCCAACTAACCAAGTAATACAAATCTAGAGGCGTGCTTAAAACTGAAAACAAGTTATGAGCCAGGTTTAAACAAATTTTCATAAGGCATGCAAGGCAAAACTATCGATATACATAATTCTCTTCATGGGGACCATGCGAGACACCACCAAGACGTAAGCTCAACAGACCATATCGCTACCACCCCCACCCCCAACAGTCTGGTGAGCTGTTTACTATCGGTTCAATTAGTGACGGCTATTAGGGGAAGATAATTTAGTTTTAAACGATTTGAAACTAAGGGGAGGTAATAACAGTTCCGCTTGATCTTTTCATTGTCATCTGTAAACTGTCGTCACCGATGACTGCTTTCACGAAGGAGGGGGGAGAGGAGTGGAAAGTGAGGGTGAGAATATATATATATATATATATATATATATATATATATATATATATATATATATATATATATATATATATATTCCTTATCAAATATTATAATATTGAAATAAAAATGTTAGTGGCTCTTTAAAAACTTTGTAATTTGGTAAATTGTAACTTTTGGGTCTTCCGTCTCAAAAGGTTGCCGAACCCTGACTTAGCATGAAGTCTTACAAAAATATTACGAATAACTGGCTCTCGACAAATCGAATTATAAAATAGGCCCACCGAATTTATCGCCCAATAGGCTCATTACATTCAGACTTATGACGTAAAGTAACCATTCCACCCGTGACTACAATATGAACCACAGCAGGAATCGAACCCCACCCTCACCAGCACCGACCCCGTAAAACGCATACAACAACATCCCCGCATTCCCGCAACCAACACCACCCAACATTATAACACATTCTGACCCACACTTTACAAAAAAAAACAAAAAAACATACATCACCCCATTGACCCGACGCTCTATAGCAAATCACTTATCCCACAACATACACACTGCCCCCTATAACCACAGTCCACAACACAACACACGGAGAGAGCAGACCAAACCCAATACACCCGCACTTTATTTCTTTCAAATCGATATAATCTTCTTCTTATTTTATTTTAACTAATGCTGTTAATCAATCGACAGTGTCTTTAAACCACTAATGGAGTCGTTGTTACACTGCAATGGATATATTCATAATCTTTCTGCAATCTATCTCGGCCCTCTGCTGAGAGTGAGTAGTCCAGTAACGGCCAGCCAAGTCCAATCTTTGATGTCCCCCCCCCCCCACCATGAGGTTTTGACGCAAAACAACACACAGGTAAAAAGAAAATATAACGCTACACACAACACACACAATGTATTTAGGATGAATGGATTTATTTGTTTTATGACCGATAGAAAGAGATTTTATGAGACCTAAGCTTTGTTGTTTATGACTCATACATTTATATCAGAGGTCTTTAATGTTATAGATGAGCAACATCTTGTCCTTTGTTCTAATATACAAAACATATTTGGTAAATTGATAGTAAATACAGCTTGATAAGAGGGGAACATTGTTGAATGGATGGATGGTTTGGTGGATCGGTGGATGAGTGGATTGCTGGGTATACGAGGGATGGGTATATGTTTGATTGGATAGGTATATGTGTGGGTGGATGAGAATATATGTGGGTGGATGGGTATATGGGTGAGTAGATGGTTATGTGGGTGGATAGTACATGGGTGGGTAGAAGGGTATGTGGGTGGGTGGATGGGTATACGAGTGGGTGGGTGGGTGTGTGGGTATATTGGTGGGCGGATGGGTATATGGGTGGGTGGATTGGAATATAGATGAATAGATTAAAAAATGGGTGGATGGATGGCTATATGTGTTTGTGGATAGTTATATAAGTTTGGGTGGATGAATTTACAGATGGATGGATGTTATAAAAAATATAAAAGAGTGAGTTGATAGATGTATGGATAATTGGATAAATGGATGAATTAATACATAGATGGATTAATGGATGCGCGGACGGAACGACGGGATAAAGGATAGACGGAGTATAAAACATACATCCCCCCCCCCCCCAGAAAAAATAGAATTTATATTCAAAAGTTATGATTTTACCAGTGTTCAACCCATCCTCCACCCCCCCCCCCCAATCCTCGATAAAATTTTAGTCCCCCTCCAGCCCCTTTTTGAGAAAAAAGTCCCAAAGAAACACTGGTCGCGACATGATTAATTTATCTTTTAAAATCTACAGCTTAACTGCACACGCGAAAGTTCGATAAAGCTTGTTGTTCAAATTTTTATTCTACATAACTAAACAAAAACACAAGCAATGATTCGAACACAATTATTGACAAGGGAGTTTGACTCGGCTGAAAGGGAGAGAACAATGAATTTACTTAGCCTGCTCTGTGTTGCTTGATTAGTCGAACTTGATCTAATCGCCGGATGTTTTTTGGACTTGAGTTGATATCTAGAACAACTTTACGTCCCTGAGTCCACCCAGCTTTGATTGATACCTGAGACTCACAAAACATTAGATCCTTATTTTATCTGCTCTACGTATCATAGGATCTAAACGTGGGACTTTACTTTTTTTAGTTGCTCGTATAGGAAGTAAAGAAAACGTGCAAAACAAAAATAAAATGACATAGAGACCATGAGAACTCTCAGACGTTTTACACCTCCTAGGCTTTGAACAACTCCGTTGTTCAATTTTTTTCTGTATGTCTGTGTGTCTGTCTGTAAATACGATATCTTGAGTACCTTTTTTATATGTAGTTTCTTTTCTATCAACTTTTGAGCGATTTCCGGTATCCAGGAGAGGAATATACTCTAGATTCGGTTGCTAAAAAGTAGATAACGTAAGTACCGTGTAAGTTAGGTAAACGAACAAACCCAATCGAGCGGTTTAATCACGAACTCCTAAATTTCTATCGTACAACTGCCATCGCCCTTACTATTATAGATAGGAATTCGATAAAAGCAAGTGGGATCCACTCCCGCTTTATTTATGCTACAGAGCGTTAAAGGCAAATAGTTCATTGGTGATAATAAAAACCAAAACAATGTTAAAATTAAAGCAGCTGAGTGATAATTAATAGAATATTAAATTCATTTACAAAATATGAAAACTAATTAAACACGGAGTTCGACTGAATTAAACATTGATTTACAATTACAATTTTAAAAAATATACATTTCTGTTTAAATAATGTGTACACGATATTATAGAGCACGAATAATGTAACATCAGCAAGATAACATTTTGAAAACATCTCAAACACAGCCAATAAAAAGTCACGCGAAACGGCGCAATGTAAAATCGATAACAACTTGTTGTTTATCTGATCGATTTGGTGAAGACTGCAGTATGTGACACTGAAAATTGCAACCACAAAATACATGCAAGTCTAATCTATCCTGTCAATACTATCATTTGAGTGAGTACTTAGTTTTACAATTATTTATTTCGTAATGTTATTTTATTAAAATTAACTTTATATCAAATGTTTATAAGTGGTTATTTAAATTAAAATTACAAACGTATATTATAAATTAAATTTTTATATTATTTGACGTAGTTCTTATATATATATATATATATATATATATATATATATATATATATATATATATATATATATATATATATATATATATATATATATATATATATATATGTGGTGTATCTGTCTATCTATAAATGAATAAATATAGAGATATCGATAGATAGATATACTAACAACTCATTTCCCATAAAAAATTCTGAATAATATATTATACGAGCCGACCCGCGGTGTATCACACGCTGCTATTTAGTGTTTTTTTTCTACTTTTCAGTAATTCATAATTTGCGAATTCGACGGTACCAATGCTGCCACTGAAAATATTTGCTTTAAAACACTATTTAATATTATTATCATATTTACTTTAGCATTTTTTATTCAAGATTTTCAGGATTTTCCTCTAATTTGGAGAGGTAATTGTGAAAGAAATGCAAGCTAGATATTTACCCATAAATTTCCAAGCAACGTCTTCATTTATTTGTGGTATCATTTTTGGAATATACGTCTGGTTTGAGTTTCACGGTCCGCTGATCTTAAAGTGTAGTGACGATGGTATCACAGCCATGCGGGCCTTTAGAGTAAAGAACAAGGCTAAAAGTGTAAACTTACCGGACTTGTCGGAAGATAAGTTTTTGTTTATTGGTATAATGACGGCAAGAAAATATCTCGACTCTCGAGCTTTCGCAAGCAGCCAGACATGGGTGTCTCGAGTTCCAGGAAAAGTTGTCTACTTTCTTGGGGAAGGGGAAGAATATACAGGTATATTTTACGTGATTTTTTTTTTGTTAATGTATCAGTCATACTAAGGGCCAACTTTTAACAATTAAAGTATTAATCTGTGTTGACGGAAAGATGTGCGAATCAGTGGTCAACCACCCCTGGCATTACGCCCAGGCCAAAAATCCCTCTAGTCAACTCCCCCCCTCCTCCCTCGTCTCGCCTAATACAAATCTGAACTAGGGCTCAAGCTCTACACCCCCCTCCACTCAACTAATAGTTGACCCTACACCTATTAAGGATAGGGACAAGATGGGATAGTGATAGGGACAGACTTAGTATTATTGATAGTGACAGGCTTGCGAATAAGATTGTGTTTACGGATATGATAAATATAGTTTATGATTAGTTATGGATATATCAAAGATAAGGTTAGGGAAAGGTGAAGGTGGGAATAATATAATAAGACCTGTTGTTTACAAGTTAGCATTATATTGCAGAGTATGACCGTTTTTTATTTTAGAAAATCAGTTGAAAGTCTAAATATACGTAGTTTATATAATACCTTAATTTGCATTAGTACTTAAAGATTGTTAAGTCGAATTTGTCAATGTAAGAAAGTTAAATTTTCTTTTACAAAAAAGGCGTATAGGAAATTGCATGTTTTAAAATGTTTACACTATAACCGTATACAGGAATATTTTTGTTATTTTCTCAGGGGATCTGAATGTCATCCAGTTGAAAGGTATCTCGGAGGAGGATTATCCACCACAGAAGAAATCGTTTGCTATGGTTGAGTACATGAATGAACATTTTGCCAAGGACTACAAGGTAGGGTAGATTTACAGGGCTTTATTTAATGACTAAAAAGTGGGATAGATTTACAGGGCTTTATTTAATGACTAAAAAGCGGGATAGATTTAGAGGCTTTATTTAAGGACTACCAAATGGGATAGATTTAGAGGCTTTATTTAAGGACTACAAAATGGGATAGATTTAGAGGCTTTATTTAAGGACTACAAAATGGGATATATTTAGAGACTTTATTTAAGGACTACAAAGTGGGATAGATTTAGAGGCTTTATGTAAGGACTACAAAGTGGGATAGATTTAGAGGCTTTATTTAAGGACTACAAAATGGGATAGATTTAGAGGCTTTATTTAAGGACTACAAAGTGGGATAGATTTAGAGGCTTTCTTTAAGGACTACAAAGTGGGATAGATTTAGAGGCTTTCTTTAAGGACTACCAAATGGGATAGATTTAGAGGCTTTATTTAAGGACTACAAAGTGGGATAGATTTAGAGGCTTTCTTTAAGGACTACCAAATGGGATAGATTTAGAGGCTTTATTTAAGGACTACAAAGTGGGATAGATTTAGAGGCTTTCTTTAAGGACTACCAAATGGGATAGATTTAGAGGCTTTATTTAAGGACTACAAAATGGGATAGATTTAGAGGCTTTATTTAAGGACTACAAAATGGGATAGATTTAGAGGCTTTCTTTAAGGACTACAAAGTGGGATAGATTTAGAGATTTTAATAAGGGAACACAAGGGTTGAATTGAAGAGAAAAGATAACATGTTGAAGATGGAGGCTGTTGATTTCGATTTCACCAACGTGAGTTAGGTGCAAACTCTCAGCCCAGGATCCAACTCGAGACTTTCGGATTAGCAATTGAACACTCTACCATTCGACCACGGCGCTCTCTTGTATAGGGAAAGTTGTGTTATGAAATAACCCTAATGGTTATCTGTCAAACAATGTGTTTATCATATGAGCTCGTCAATGGAGTCTTATAAACTTTATATGTCATATACTCATAACTGAACCTATTCTGCGGTGCATGTTTTTGTTGTTACTAATTATATGTTTTCTATAATGTTTGTATACCCAGTGGCTGATCCGGGCAGACGATGACGTGTACATAAAGGTGGACGAGCTGGTCAAATTTCTGAAGTCAATCGATGACAAACAACTGCTGTATATAGGTCAACCTGGTTTCGGAAAATCCACCGAACAAGGTGGGTATTACGACTAGATCGGAATAGATTAGGAATGGAATATTCATAACTGCACTCGATTATAAAATAATAATTACACTAATCCGAAGAATTTTGTTTTCAAAATATAATTGAAACCCTTTAAATATAGATGATAAATCCAACACCGCTATGCGTGGTATCCACACCTATCCGCAGATGTGTCTTATCTTATTAGCTATAAGCTCGAATAAACAAACAACATGGTGTCCTTTTACAACAAAATATATATTGAATGCTTTTTAATTGCTGAAAGATTACATTTTAAATGAAACCAAGTTTAAAGTTTTTTATAACTAAAAGATGTTTGTCATTCTTGGCTAGGCAAACTGGGTTTGAATGGCTCATTTTGTATGTCATTCGTGGTTAGGCAAACTAGGTTTGAATGGCTCATTTTGTATGTCATTCTTGTTTAGGCAAACTGGGTTTGATGGGATCATTTTGTATGTCATTCTTGTTTAGGCAAACTGGTTTTGAATGGCTCATTTTGTATGTCATTCTTGTTTAGGCAAACTGGGTATGAATGGCTCATTTTGTATGTCATTCTTGTTTAGGCAAACTGGGTTTGAATGGCTCATTTTGTATGTCATTCTTGTTTAGGCAAACTAGGTTTGAATGGCTCATTCTGTATGGGAGGCCCTGGGGTGATCATGTCGTCCAAGCTAGTGACAAGGGTCGCCCCACGGCTTAAGGAATGTATTAAAGTCACGGCCACAGAGCATGAGGACACGGAGCTTGGTCGGTGCATCACGATCAGCACTGGGGTACAGTGCACAGTAGCGTTTCAGGTAGGTGCATCGTAGTCAGTAATAAGGTGCAGTGCACAATAGGGTTTAAGGTGGGTGCATCGTAACCGTTGCTCAGGTATAGTGCGCAGTAGCGTTCCAGGTAGATGCATCACAATCACTACTAAGGTACAGTGCACAATAATTGAATCACAGAAGGGTATAAGGGGTGGACGATTGGTATTTGTATTTTTTGATGGTTTATTAAATATTTACTGAAAACATTAAAATAACTTCATCGTAATGTATTTAATTTAAATTTGTATCTTAGAACTTTTATTTTAATACATATTTTAAATTTTCTCGCTTATTACTGGCTTAACCGCAGCTTATAGAATCATCAGTGCCTCCAAGTTTGTTTTAATGTATGCACTGGTATCTTTACCTATTGTTTTGTCAATATCTAACATTCATTAAATTATTTTCATTAAAATCTCAGATGAAAGAGCTGTTTTATCAAAACTATGCAGAATTGGACTTACCAAACAGTTCTTTTAAAAAACCATTGGGACGAGACGAGCTTCGGGCGCTGACCCTACATCCGTTGAAAGAATCATCATACGTGTTCCGATTGGAGAATTTCTTTAATCAAAATATTTACCAGGTAAAATTTATTTTTACGAGTAATGACATGCATATAATATTACAGTAGAACTGTAATAATAAAGGGGATTTCCCCCAACTCTATTTAGTATTAAATGTCAACTAGTATTGCGTCATATAGATCGTTGACCTGAGGCTATGCAGTTTTTCGGGTTAGGGGTCGTCCATAAATGACGTCACACTCGTAGGGGGGAGGGGGGTTCCGTAAGTTTTTTGACGATGTGTGATTAGGGGGAGGGGGGGGGGGTCAGATGCTGCGACGTCACACTTTTGCATTATAAAAAGGCTATGTTAGAAAAAGAATTTAGACTTTATTTCGCGTTTTAGAAAACTGCTATAATAAATTGAAATCGGAATTGATTAAAATACGCTATGTTGACAGAGTTCAGAGACAATTTTAGAAAAATATCTATGTTTAAAAAAAAAATTCAACTGCAATCTTGAGGAGGTTTGTAGGCTGAGGTGTGACGTCATTTACAAGACACCTTTGGAAGATGTTCTGGATGAGCTGACATGCAAAGGACTTGCAATTTCCTTTTCTGCTAGTACTGAAATATCAAAGATAAAAAGTTCCCTTTTCAAACCTGACGGTCTATAGGGCAAGTGAAGTAGAGTTCACTTGTTTCTATGACCTCGAAGAGATGAAGAGATAGTGTGGTCAGTCCAGCTCTCTACCGCTAGACCATTCCGTCCCGTAAATCAAAGATAAGCAAACTCTGTAGAACGCACTTTACGTAAACAACTACCCTTCGTCTCAAAATGATAATAAGCCTCCCGTACAAAAGATGGATGGCTGAATTGAGTCTTACAAAATTACCAGCGCCTTTGAAATCATCCAGCTAAGATGGACATAATTTTTACTTTCAATGTTACTGTGAAAGGGGTCCCATGTCCCATTACTTTATCCACATGATAAAGTAACATCAATACACTTCTGTTATATCGAATAAAAACACTATAATTTTCAACTAAAGATTCCTATTGGCAGCTCTTTAATTTAGTATTATACATCATCAGTGGGAGATACAAAGTAATCACAGTACGGTTGTAGTTCGGTTGTAGTTCGCAGGGAAAAAAAGGGCTCAGAGGAAGAACATTTCTAGCATTAAAAGTAGCTAGTGGAAAACAATGTCGTAAAAACACATTAAGTCATGCAAATAAAAAAACAACGCTAATAGGTTAAAAGTAAAAAAAAAACTGGGTAAAACTAAGTGAAATCACAAAAAATAAATAAAAATAAAGCTGAACTTCTGATTAAGAATGTAGAAATGAAGTGTTACGGTTTTGATTTTAAGTTTAAATAGTATTGCTTTGAGAACGCTTTAAAGAAAGAACTGACCGATGAAGTTATTGTATTCGTTCTCATAAGTGGACTCTGGCTCTATCTTTTTTTTATATTTTAATTTGTATATACATAAATGTTAAGGAAACTGATTTTTTAAAATCATATAATCATAACTGTACCTATTCTGTGGTGTATGCTTTTTTTATTACTAATTATAGATGAATCGATAATTTTGGTCATGATTGAAACTTCTGCTCTAGAGACTCACAAAGAGAGCAGCAGACCTGAAAGCTACACTTGAAACACTAGATACCGTGGGACAGGGTACCGACATGCTCGCCTTAAGTAAAGATAAGATTGTTAGGTCATCTCAACCTCAACATGATGTCAATAACAGCCAGATCACTAATTTAGAAGGTGATTCCATGTCATATAACTCTGGACAGTAGTATCAAAAATCATAATTATATATATACTAGCCGTCCCGGCCAGGTCCTGCTCTAGCTTCTGTAAAAAACCTTTTTGTTAAAGACCATTACCTGTGTGTTTAGTAATCATCATAAACCCGGCACTGCCCACCCAAACCACAACCAACCAAAACCAAAACAACAAAACGCAAACATAACGCTAACACAATTACAAATACAAACGAAAACAAAAACCTAACAACAAACCCAACCACAAACACCAATACAAACACAAAGAAAAAACAAATAAAAAAGCAAACAAAAACCTAACAACAAACCTAACCACAACCACAAACACCAATACGAACACAAAGAAAAAAACAAACGGAAAAGCAAACGAAAACAAACCAAATCCAAACGCAAACGCAAAACCAACCACAAACACAAACACAAACCCAAAGAAAAAAACACAAACGAAAAAGCAAACGAAAACAACACAAACGCAAAACCAACCACAAACACAAATACAAACACAAACCTAAAGAAAAAAACACAAACGAAAACGAAAACGAAAAAAGAAAGAACAAAAACGAACCAAATCAAAACGCAACCACTAAAGCAAACCCAACCTAAACACAAAGAAAACACTAACGCGAACATAAACGCAAAGTGCTCACAGTCTAGCCCGGGGCAGAATCGCCTGTTTCAGCTTAATAATCGACTCTAGTACCCCGACTTATTCATAGTCTTTTGCACTCACTTAAACGAACGTAGGTACGAAACCAAACCAAATGAACAATTATAATATTCCAAGCTTATTCGTAAAATACCTACAACATTTGCACTTGATCAATCCCCGCTAATTATGAAATTATTTTTTTTCCAACACCAAAACAAAGTAATAAAAAGTAAATTCTTTTCCACTAATGCAATGTTTTATAAAGGGAAGTAATTGTGTTTTCCTAATTTATCAAAGGGAAGTAAGTGCTAAAGGACTAAATATAAATAATTTTCAGACATAATTAGAATTTTTGTTATCTTTTTAAAATTGAGTTTAATGAACATGCCGACAATTATTACTATCAGTTTAAAGAATGAAAATTATTTCCCAACACTTTCAATAGTAATTTTTTAACTCATAAATTTACAGAATTGAGCTTTATATATATATATATATATATATATATATATATATATATATATATATATATATATATATATATATATATATATCGGATATAAACATTAATTTATATACATATTTCTAAAATCTGTATTACTCTATTATCAGATGATGCTAACAAACGACCAGATGTAGAGACCCGCATAGAACATATCAGTTTGTTACCTAAGGTTTGTAGCAATGCCTAATCAGCGTAATTAATTATCGTATTTTGCTGTTAAAATAAACTACAAAATTAGATAAGAAATGTGTACGTGATTGTTTTAGAAAGATCAGAGGTTTTAATAAATCAGGAATGTATATTTATGTTTTTAGTTTTTTGGACATGTAAAAGCTAATTATATTATTATATAGGATACTTTTTAAAATTTATCTATCAGTAATTATGCATTTTAAATGTTATAACAGTAATTCGATATTTTAGTTGTTAAATATAATTAGTATTTCATTTCTTTTTTTCAATTCCACCCTTACTTGATGAAATAGAGATCAATTACGATTTAACATGTTTTCTTTAAAACACAATCTTGACAGACATAATTATAAACATAACAAACTGTGCTTATTAAAATTTAGAAATCTCAAGAAGAAATATATATGTAGGTTTGAATGTGTTTTTGAGGCCTACATTCTAAACTAGATAAGGTTAGTTTAGGGAACAGCTATTTAAGAAAAGATTGATTCACGTTTATTCATATGTGGTTTAAAATCATTTCCGACAGGGGAGATCAATTTATCAAGGTCCAGACCAGCTTTGGGAATTTATTCGCTACAAGACAATGTTCAGTGCTAAGTTGGAGACGGGAAAACTTGTGTTTCCATTGGAGCACAAAGGTAGACGTGACCTGCACCAAGAGATGGTTAAGTGAGCATTAATTTATTATACAGATGGCTAATGACCAAAAACTTTAAATATAATCATTAGTAAAAGTATTAAAATTGTCATTGCCCAAAATCCTAACATATATAACAAAATAAAGAAAGATGATATTATTATACTTTAGTATATAAATGTAAAGAGAAATATGAATTTGCAATACTTTAAAGTTTGCATTTATAACAGAGGAAAATAATGTTATAAAACGATACAATACTAAAATATGTAAAGAGAAATACGAACTTGCAATATTTATACATATACAACAAAGTACAGTAACATGATATTATGATACTATATGTAGAAATGATAAGAACATTTTGAAAAATAATTTCACTACGTAGATATGCGATGTCTTACCTCCAACATCAAAGGATGGCACCAAATTTTGTCAATACGACCTACCAGAGACTGTCCACCAACAGAGGAGTGGAGGTCTTGTTGTTCATCAAGACATGGAACAAGGGGAGAAAATCTATTCAACCAATTTACTTAAGGAAACCATTACGAAGTTTGTTTGTAGATGTTAGGTAATTGATTTAATAAGTTTGACGAGATCGGTCCGATCACTGTTCTTAACGGCAGTAGAAAAAAAAACTGAATTCAGAAATGTAATATTTTCTGCATCAAAGAATTAAAATTTGGAAAATACTTTGAGAATACGTTTCATTAAACAAAAAAAAATTCCATGATAATATTGGCTATATTTTTATATATATATATCAATACTTCCAGATATAATTTTTTTGAAAAGTGTCGTTTTACATTAAAATCGTGTTCATTGTGCATTTTATGCTTACAAATTTCCAGTTTTGAATAAACACAACAAATTATAAAAAAAAAAGTATAAAAATATTACTTCTCTGCGCTATCTCCGTATAACTTATACTAGCATATAAAACTGCAGCAATTCTTTGTTTCTATTATTCCGTGGGAACGAAAAATAAACAATGTGTTTTAGTTATTTTAAAAAGTTTTTGTTTATTTTTCGAAAATATTAATGGTTTAATAAAGTCCGCCGAAATAAAAACAATGTTTTTCATGACCAAATTAATTTTAATAACATCACACACGATTTATAAAAAGTTTAATGAACCATTCGAGACTTTTGACGTAGGGGTCCAATGGAAAATGTCGTCTCTTTATGCTATAGGCGTGGACGTCGAATGAAAACATAACTGAAAACAAAGCACGTTTGTAGATTTTAGGTAATAGAAATGACGGTATTTTGTAGACTTTAGGCTTGGTTATTGAATGAAAATTCACTTGATTACATGTCAGCTGTATTTTGACAGAGAGGCTGGCGAGGAGATGGGAAACCAAGAAAAAACAATTTATATCCTTATGCCGCTGTTTCGGAGGTCTTCGATTTATAAAAGATTTTTGGGTATGCATGCGTCTGCAGTTAAGGGTGAGTAACTTGTGTTTGCGATTAAATAAATGAATGGATTCATTTGTAAAACGTTTTATATGGGATGTAATTAACCTTTGTGGGTCTAAGACATAATCAAAGTCATTGTTATAGATTCACAAATTGTTTATCTTTTAAAAAAAATATTAAAAGTTTTTTTGTAAAAAATAGAACTAATGTAACTTAAATTCACACTTATACATCTCAGATCAATTCATTGAATAAAATGTATGTTGTGTGTGTTATATAAACCAACATTGGTGTTTATAATTAGAACAAGTCGTTATATGTACTAGGGGCAAAATTGATAAATACAAGTTTACATCTAAGTAAACTCCTTTTATAGCAAAGGTACATTATTTTATATTTGAATTTATTTGGAAACCTAAAAAATATGCACATTTAGATAGAATGGATGGTCTAATTGTATATCATTTTATTACTAGCCCAAATGGCAAGAGTTTAATTTATTAAGTCCATATGACTTAATCCACCTAGTAGAAGTGGGTTCCTAGCATTTATTGGGAAAGTAACAGTATCGTGTAAGAGTGTTGACGACATTATCACCACATAATATAAAAAAAATTGTTTAATTTCATTTGTGTTATTAAAAATCATTTGAACACCTGACCTGTAATACTATTTTTGCCCCCCCCCCCCCCCTAATGCTCCTCGTAATATCAAGAAAACGAAGCTAAATTAAAAAAAAAAAAACTAAACTAAACGATTTTGAAATATTATTTATATATCTCGGTTGCTAGGCTACAGAGGCAAGGTCCAACTAAGGCTGGTCTTGTTTGTAGATGACATAGGTGAGCACAATCTAATAACTACCATGACGTCATCAGCTCTGAGAAGCCACCCTCATTTGGATATCACAATCTTGTATTTAGAGGGACCTTTCAACAGAGGCAAAGGTAAATTTGGTGACCTAAGAAAAGGAAAAATATAACACTTTACTCTGCAGTTAAAGGCTTACTGGAAAATGTTAATTTCTTTTTCAGTTAATCGACATTGTTTTTTCGTTGAGCAAGGTTGCTTTAAAATGTTATAATAACAGATAGTATAATATGAAATTATTATTGTTTCTCTCTTTTACTAAACATCTATGGTAATGCTGACAATTAAATAGTCAAATATTTACCTTGTTTATTTAAGACCTCGTTGTTCTACAGATATATGAAATAAGACTGATAATATTCATGTCATAAAAAGAAAAAAAAAATGTCTTTCATAATTGTATCGAACAAAACATAGTTTTAAATTGTTGAAAATTGAAATACTTAGATATAAAACATATAATTTATGTGTTAACCAAATGTAATGTATCATTGTGTATGCTTGTGTTAATAAGTAAAGTAAAGTTGTATCAGAAAGGAACAATTTGATATATTTTAGGTTTGATGACAGCATTGAGTGACCTCCCTATATCCTCTCTACTCCTCTTCATGGATGTAGATATGGAATACTCCTCTCATTTTCTTTACCGTGTCTCCAAGTATACAGTCATGGGCAGAAGCACATTTTTCCCTATTTATTTTGTTCATTATAAGTAGGTTTTATTTTACAAATCTGGATTGTTATTGTTTTCCAATACAGTTTTAATGCCAAAATTAGTAATTCTTCTGTGATCAGATTCAATATACTTTTCTATCATATAATAAACATATACCAAAATCTAATAGTCAAAAACTCATAAAATAGATTTTACCAATAATCGATTATCCAAGAATAATAGGCCTATATAAATAGCCTATATAGGGATTCATATATATTTTTAATATATGTGTGTTATAAATAACGTTATGTATTATGTCCATGCTCCTAGCCCAGATTCTGTGTGTTACAAGCAAGATGACTGTGATACCCTACTCAACAGCCGACGTGATGAAGTGGGGCTGTGGAGAAGTTTTAGTTTTGGCATTGGTGCAGTTTACAAGGGTGATTTAATCAAGTGAGTTTTAGTTTTGGCATTGGTGCAGTTTATAAGGGTGATTTAATCAAGAGAGTTTTAGTTTTGGCATTGGTGCAGTTTATAAGGGTGATTTAATCAAGTGAGTTTTAGTTTTGGCATTGGTGCAGTTTATAAGGGTGATTTAATCAAGTGAGTTTTAGTTTTGGCATTGGTGCAGTTTATAAGGGTGATCTAATCAAGTGAGTTTTAGTTTTGGCATTGGTGCAGTTTATAAGGGTGATTTAATCAAGTGAGTTTTAGTTTTAATTTTGGCATTGGTGCAGTTTACAAGGGTGATTTAATCAAGTGAGTTTTAGTTTTGGCATTGGTGCAGTTTATAAGGGTGATCTAATCAAGTGAGTTTTAGTTTTGGCATTGGTGCAGTTTATAAGGGTGATTTAATCAAGTGAGTTTTAGTTTTGGCATTGGTGCAGTTTATAAGGGTGATTTAATCAAGTGAGTTTTAGTTTTGGCATTGGTGCAGTTTATAAGGGTGATCTAATCAAGTGAGTTTTAGTTTTGGCATTGGTGCAGTTTATAAGGGTGATTTAATCAAGTGAGTTTTAGTTTTGGCATTGGTGCAGTTTATAAGGGTGATTTAATCAAGTGAGTTTTAGTTTTAGTTTTGGCATTGGTGCTGTTTACAAGGGTGATTTAATCAAGTGAGTTTTAGTTTTGGTTGTCTAGTGATCTTATCAAGTGAGTTTTAGTTTTGGTATTGATGATGTATACACAAGTTATCAAGCGAGCTTTTGGCTTAGTGCCATGTACTGAAAAAATCTACTAAAACCCAGATGGTTTTCAGACATCCTGCCAAGCTCCTTGAATGAGTTGACTTTCTGGTCAATTGGATAGTCAGTTGATATCTTGTCATGGCAACATTTAGAGAAAATAATTTCTAAATCCAAATTTGAAAGAAATATGTTAACATTAATTTTTCTCAAAGTTAAAATTTCTGTTTATGAATATCTTAACATTGAGGCCTTTTCAAATTATTGTGTGTTGACAGTCGTGTCTTTAATAATTGCAATAGCTATTATTTGTTATTATATTTGCTTCTTCAGAGCTGGAGGGTTTAAGACAGATATTGAAGGATGGGGACTTGAGGATGTTGATTTCTTTGAAAAATGTATCACTGCTGGTCTGGAAGTGATCCGAGGCTCAGACCCTTCCTTGCTTCACAGGTTAGTCAGTACAACTTTGTAGGAAACATTGGCAGCTCAACAAACGCTTACAAAATAAAATTTACAGGTTAGTCAGTACAACTTTCTAAGAAACATTTGCAGCTAAACAAACGCTTACAAGATAAATTTCACAGGTTAGTCAGTACACACTTCTAAGAAACATTTGCAGCTCAACATTGAAACAGAGGCGTCCAAAATAAAATTCACAGGTTAGTCAGTACAACTTTCTAAGAAACATTTGCAGCTAAACAAACGCTTACAAGATAAATTTCACAGGTTAGTCAGTACAACTTTCTAAGAAACATTTGCAGCTCAACATTGAAACAGAGGCGTCCAAAATAAAATTCACAGGTTAGTCAGTACAAATTTGTAGGAAACATTTGCAGCTAAACAAACGCTTACAAGATAAATTTCACAGGTTAGTCAGTACAACTTTCTAAGAAACATTTGCAGCTCAACATTGAAACAGAGGCGTCCAAAATAAAATTCACAGGTTAGTCAGTACAAATTTGTAGGAAACATTTGCAGCTAAACAAACGCTTACAAGATAAATTTCACAGGTTAGTCAGTACAACTTTCTAAGAAACATTTGCAGCTCAACATTGAAACAGAGGCGTCCAAAATATGATTCACAGGTTAGTCAGTACAAATTTGTAGGAAAGATTTGCAGCTAAACAAACGCTTACAAGATAAATTTCACAGGTTAGTCAGTACAACTTTCTAAGAAACATTTGCAGCTCAACATTGAAACAGAGGCGTCCAAAATATGATTCACAGGTTAGTCAGTACATATTTGTAGGAAACATTTGCAGCTAAACAAACGCTTACAAGATAAATTTCACAGGTTAGTCAGTACAACTTTCTAAGAAACATTTGCAGCTCAACATTGAAACAGAGGCGTCCAAAATATGATTCACAGGTTAGTCAGTACATATTTGTAGGAAACATTGGCAGCTCAACAAACGCTTACAACATAAATTTCACAGGTTAGTCAGTACATCTTTGTAGGAAACATTGGCAGCTCAACATTGAAACAGAGGCGTCCAAAATAAAATTTACAGGTTAGTCAGTACAACTTTCTAAGAAACATTGGTAGCTCAACATTGAAACAGAGGTGTCCAAAATAAAATTTACAGGTTAGTCAGTACAACTTTCTAAGAAATATTGGTAGCTCAACATTGAAACAGAGGCGTCCAAACTAAAATTTACAGGTTAGTCAGTACAACTTTGTAGGAAACATTTGCAGCTCAACATTGAAACAGAGGCGTCCAAACTAAAATTTACAGGTTAGTCAGTACAACTTTGTAGGAAACATTTGCAGCTCAACATTGAAACAGAAGCTTCCAAAATGGAATTCACAGATTAGTCAGTACATCTTTCTAGGAAAAATGTAACTTAGCTTAAATAAAATATATTGTTTATACACCTTGGTAATATGTTTCAAAAGTTTTAAAAATGTATTGTTGTTACATTTTTAAGGTGCGCGGACCTTTGACCACAGGTGCTTTGACCATAGGGGGTTTGGCCATAGGGGGTTTGACCACAGGTGTTTTTGCAGCAGAGGGTCTTTGATCACAGGTGGTTTGTCCAATGCTGGCGTTTGATAATAAGCGCTTTGTCCATATATTGTAATGATTTATTTTAAATATTGTGTAATTATATTTTAAATTGCGGCAGGATATGCTAATTCATCATATATAAATACAAGTCATCTAAACCATACAATTATTACTTCTTTGACTACACTGTTGGCATGTTTTTTTATCCTTTGTTATCCTTTCTATTTATGTATATTTTCAAGTACATCTACATTATTTATTTGTGAAACTTTGATATATGTCGCATTATTTATGTTCCATTTATATTTAAAATAAATTGTATGAGGCGTACCACCAGCCTTTATGTGGAGACTAAAATATCGTTCTTAACTTTTTTTAGTACGTTAATTTCTATTAATGGACTCCCAGGAAACATGTATAAAATCGTATTAGTTGTATCACAAATTTAAATCAAATAACAATTTATAATATCTATTTTAAAATCTATTTATTATGGTTAACCCCGCTCTGTTGTCAAAGCTACGCTGTGGTCAAACCCCCTATGGTCAAACCCCCTATGGTCAACGCTCCGCTGTGGTCAAAGCCCCGCTGTGGTCAAACCCCCTATGGTAAAACCCCCTATGGTCAACGCTCCGCTGTGGTCAAAGCCCCGCTGTGGTCAAACCCCCTATGGTCAAACCCCCTATGGTCAACGCTCCGCTGTGGTCAAACTCCCTATGGTCAAAGCACCTGTGGTCAAAGCACCTAGGACCATTTTTAAAAGGCTTTTGAGCTCATTTATTTTATTTAGTCAACTTGAAAGTAAAATAATAGAGTACATTTGTTTTTGCATATAATGGTTAATAAAAAGTGTAATTATATTCCAAAATGCTTTGTCTCTCAGAAAATTATTAATCTTTACTATTCCTGCTCCCCCTCTACAGATATCACCCCAGAGAATGCGACACGTCCCTTCCAGAAAATCAGCTGCAACAGTGTGTAGACAGTGGTTCAGCCATGCTGGGCTCAGTGAAAAGTCTGTATCGTATGTTGAGTGACTTCTCAAAAGAGGATGCTGATTTGATAGGGTAATGAAAGCCACGACAAGATAGGAAGCTGTTCAAGTACATGACATTGAATTCATATAGAGACAGAAAGATGTTCAAATACATGACATTGAATGTCATATAAGGACATGGAGCTTTTCAAAGACATGACATTGAATGCCACATCAACAGAGGGCGCTGCTTAAATTCAAAATGGCAATATATGTATATTTAAATTATAACTATATTCTAAATTGGTATAATAATAGGCATTGTTTCTTTTATAATTAATAAAACTCTAAAATGTAAGACTTAAGATAAAATTATTTTTATTTCTAACCTTGTATGTAAAGCAGTGAGGGGTACGACTGACCACAATATCCCTTTAATGCTAAGTAAAGAGAGATTAATTCACTCTAGTTCATCTGAGAAAACTTTTAAACATTTAAAACACTAAAGTTAGAACACTCGGGGTCCGAGGAAGCGAGATGTATAAATAACACCAGTAGTTAACATATAGAAACATTAAACATTAACATTTCTTTTTTCATGTGCAAAGCTAGTAGTAAATTATTACATTTTTATTAACATCCCTTCGACTGATGGAAAATGAATATTTTGTACTAAAGTACTTTAATTTATTAAATTTTCTGCTAACAATTCAAGGATTCCAAAACTGTTGAGGTTCTGCTGTTATATAGAAAAACAATAAAAGGAAAACAGAATAAAAACAGATAGAGGGATGATATCATTGGTGGTGGGTTGGGGGTGGGGTGGGGAGGGCTGATGGATTATTGGACAGACGGATGAATAGATTACGAATGGATGACTTAATACAGGCATGGAAAGAACGACGGTCAGAAGTGACTGATGAAATGTATGTATACATGGATGTGTTGGTGAAACGTTGAATGAAAAAGCCTACAGCTAAATTAATATTATTAGCCTTATATGATTGAACAAGTTTACAGTAGCTTTAACCCTTCTCGCGCGCGAGAGAGAAAGAGAAACAAAAAGACAGAGACAAAGAACGAGAGAGACAGGGAGAGAGAGAGAGAGAGAGAGAGAGAGAGAGAGAGAGAGAGAGGGAAGCAGACAAAGTCTATGCTGCTCAGAGGGTAGTTAGGGTCTCCAAACTACGGCCCGCGGTCAAATGGGGTCCGCGAGGTCCTCTCATGCAGCCCGCGGAGATCGCTTTGTCCACGGAATTAATAAAATAATTTAAAAAAAAACATTTTAAAAACCACGTTTTTCTTGTGGACTAAAAAGTAGAAAATTAATTTTTCTTCCGACCCTAGGGGATCTACCAATGACTGCTTGTAGATTTTGTGCAGGTTCTTGTGATGACTGTTCATACATTTGATGACAAAAAAACGTGGGTACGTTTTCGCTTTAATCATAAATCTGCCCGACCCACGTTTTTTGTCATCAATGACGAGCAGTCATTGGTAGATCCCCTAAGGTCGGAAGAAAAAATTATTTTCTACTTTTTAGTCCACAAGAAAAACGTGGTTTTTTAAAAAAGTTTTTTTTAAGTATTTTATTTTCTCCTTTTTAGTCCGTTGCTACACATGAAAAACGTGGTTTTTAAAAAGTTTTTTATATAGTTTATTTTCTAATTTATCTAATGACTTGATTAAGTATGACTTGACTAAGTGTTTTTAAATACACGGACTAAAAATCTTGAGCGACCGATACGCTTTAAACAGAGAAGGGGCGTAATTTAATCAAGCTAATTTATTTAGGTCTCTAATTGCTAGTTTTTTATGATTGGATCTGAAATTGTTATGTGAGCTTGGCAGTGCGAGACCCACAGCAGCCTACATGCCGTGACCAGTATTCGAACCTGGGTTGTCGCGGCCACAACGCGAAGTACTAACCACTATACGATCACGGCCAGCGCGCTCACATCGATTGGGGCCGAAGTAACTGTGTCAATAGGCCTCCAGTCTTGTCGATATCTTTAGAAATCATGCCCTCGATTTTATGGTCCTTGGGGCGTAATTTAATTAAGCTAATTTAGGTCTCTAATTGCTAGTTTTTATGATTGCATCTGAAATTGTTAGGCGAAAATAGCCTGCATGCCAAATTTCAGATCTCTAGAGCAATCAGAAGTGGGCTAATTTTCGATGTCAATTTTAACAACAAACATCCAAACAAACAAACAAATAAACGCGAAGCTGAGTTAAGAAAAACGTGTTAAAAAAAAGTTTGTTGTAGGTGGCTGAGGAACTTTGCCCAAAAATTCAAACAATTTGAAAATGTAGCTTTGTGTGCAAATACCATTTCAAGTCGTGTGTCAGACATTGGTGAAAACATTGTGACTAAAATAACGAAAGATGAGAGTTTCGCCATTTTTCAATTGCAAATGATGAGTTGCTTGACATCTGCTCCACCTCTCAACTGCTTGTGTTAATTAGAGGGGTGGATGAAGATATAATCATAACACAAGAGCTGGTTTCCCTACATAACATGTATGGCACTGTTACCGGAGAGGATATATTCCATGAGTTTTAAAGAAATGCGTGTCCCGAAGCGCCTTGGGATCCCCTGTGAGTACTATGGCTCTTACGTTCGTTTTAAAAAAAAAGTTTATATACTAAAGACACGAAGGGCAACAATAACCGTTGACAATATCGAATAAGGCGCGTCCTCTGGCTCCCCGGTAGGGGGCAATTTTGCGTCCCAAGCTCTCCTGTGAGCACTATGGAGCCCCGACTTGGCGCCCCGGCTTGTCTTGGCTAGGAGCCCCGGGCTATTCTGTTTTAATAAAGCTATAGCCGAAATTAAACAATGCATAAGAACGAATTTAACTTTTCAAGCGGCAAATTTTTCCAAAGGACGCCAATTTTTTCTTGCATTTTGAATAATTAAAAGCTCGTGTGGATATGCACAACTTGCGCACTGATATACGTTTTTCATCAGCTACGTATTTGTTTTGTTTGCATGAGCCATGTAGCAAATATTAATTATTAGCTAATATTAATTAAATTTCATACCTATGTGAAAATAGTTTACTAAAAATTTTAATGAATTTTTATTTTTTCCAAAATTAAATGTTTTCTTCGTTTATTTTTGTATGTTTGAACAGAGCGGTCTTGATCTTAGAAGTGACGTTTAACATGTTTGCACAGAGCGCGTATATACACACATACACGCACAGATACATAAGCATATGCACACACACATAATGTAAATCCTGACTTAAATCTTCACTGGCTAAATTTTAGATTTTTGCACAACGTGGTTATTTGTAACGTAATGTTTCTAGTGGCATTAAACGTTAGATTTTACAATGATTACAAATATTTTATTTAAAAAAATTCATTACTTTAGATTAAATAGTGATAAGTTTTATTGCAGAAAAAAACATAACAAAATAAAGGTCAGTAAAAAAAAAGAAAACAACAAATAATGTTACAAATAAAAACATATGCGTAGACCATACAAAGTAAAAATATAAAAAACTTTAAAAATATATTCACACAGCAGACAAAATAAAGTTAATATTTAACTAACTGGAATCAATTGCGTTTATATCATAAGTTTTTCTCTTTATTTTTCATACCTTTTTTCTGTTCCAGTTGGAAACTTACAAGCGAAAATTTTCCCCTTACGCCAAACTGATTCGTTTCCAACCTGACAAGTCGGTCAAGATCAAATGACAATGTCTTGTGACTTGCTATTAGACGTATTTTTAAAAAAATGGTTACTAGATAAAGTGTTAATTGTAGGGCGATTCTACCGTCACTAAATAAGGGCCTTCAATGGTTGCGCAGATTATTATATTCATGTGATTTTCTAACCACTAAAATTATATTGTATACTTTGTCATTTGATCAATGTAAATCAGTACACACAATTTTAAATGAACATTTATAGTTTTTGCACTTGTTTCACATTTTCACGGTCATTAGTTTAGTTAAATATTTATTTACAGGATTGAGTAAAACATTATAAGGTTTATGCTTAAGATTAATTTAAACGTCAAAATTATAGAATACGGTCATGTTTAATTTTTATATAATAATAATATATAATTTTAGATTTATTAAATTGTTAAGGATTAAATTTTACGATTATTATCAGATTTAGGCTGTTACATATCTCAAACATTGTGTAAGGCAATTACAATTCAATATTTCATATATGATGTAAAGCAATTTCGACTTAGCATTTTGAATTTAAAAGTTCGTCCACTGACGTTAATAATATTGTTCTAATGTGCAGGTAATGTCTTACAAAGGTCTAAAACATAATGGAATATGCTTTCTAAATATGATATACATATGCAATATGAAATGTTTTCTAATTAATAGTTTATACCAATTGTTAGGGTTTAATTTAAATCAACTATTTTCGATTCCTGCCATTTGCCTGTAAAAATTGTGAAGAGCCTGTCCACTATAATTTTCTTTACCATTAGATCCACTGTGAGGAAGAGACCACCGATAATATCCTAGCCTGTACACATGAGCACCACTGGAGCCTGGACATGTACATGTTGAGTACCAATATTGGAACAAACCACCTGTGTCATGTTCTTGAATCATCTCCCCGAGAGACACCTGTTTAGGACATCCATGTGGATGTGAAACTATTATGATCAAATTTTTCTGAAAATCTAAGGCGTATTTGTTTCTTGCTTTTTTACATAGAACGTCAAAACGTTTAAGCTTCTTGTCAAAATAATCAACCAGCCCAGCGTCACAGGTCACACAAATCACCTCACACCTGTCGGAAGGCGTAGTGCCACACCACCAGCCCGAGCCATTAAGACTGACCACTCGACTTTCTTTGTCATCAAAACCGATAACGCACTCACTCTTAACCGCCTCACTATCATCAAATACCACATGTGTGGCTGTCACCACACTAATTTCCTAGGACCTTTGACCACAGGTGCTTTGACCATAGGGGGTTTGACCATAGGGGGTTTGACCACAGCGGACCTTTGACCATAGGGGCTTTGACCATAGGGGGTTTGACCACAGCGGGGCTTTGACCATAGCGGTGCTTTGACCATAGGGGGTTTGATCATAGGTG